GGGCCATAAGTAAATTAAGACGAGAGTGTTTGTATAAAACGGAGGAAGCTGAGAAAGTATTATACTGAATCCAAGGCATTTTGAATAGAAAGCCCAAATAATTCCACTCTTGCAAGATTGCATGTGCCTGAATTATCAAAATTACCTTTAGGAAGATTCCACTGCTTTATCATATGCTTCATTCTGACACAAGTTTTCAGGCAGCAATGCGAGTCATGTGTTAGTAATTAGCATTGGCTGTGAGAAATTACTTCCAAGTTTCAGCGGCTTAATCCAAGATGGTTTCATCCCTGTGGTCCGAGTGTCCCCCATCCACAGCGGTGCGAGGAGGGACTCGGGGGGGGACGGCTCCTGGGCCGCTGCCCTCTTGAGCACCTTGGTGCAGCTCTCATCGCCGTGGGTTTGTCCTCGTGTGCTTTCCTGCCTGCCCACCTTCCACCACAGGACGGTGCTGACGGTCAGAAGGCCCTTGCCAGGGGCTGCGGCTGTGCCCTCGGACTGCCTAACCTTCAGCACTGGGAGCCATTGTGTTTGTATTCTTTAGGAATTGTCCAGTCTCCGGCAACCTGTTCTAGCAGCAAATATAGACTTAGACAAGGGCACAGACCACAGCAGATGAGTGACTCTCTTAGGGGTTCTCGGGACCCAGAATCCTTCCTGCTTCCTTATCTTTCTGCTTTCCCGTAGGACTTGGGGTTCCTTCACTGGGTGGCTTCCCCGGCTAGCTGACAAACAAGATGTCACAGGCCATGTGGGATGTTCCAGGAATCAAGCCAGCGAGGGGACAGCACCACCCAATTCCCTTGGCCAGGCGGGTTACCCCAAGAGGGCACCTAGTGTTGCCGGTGCATTCTTTGGTGGGAACTCTCAGTCGGCAGTGCTCACCGATGATCGCTTGCACGCCATCACACGAGGCACTAGCAGAGGGCGCCAACGCACGGCCAACAGTCCCCATGCGAGGGTATGGAAAATGGGTTAATTCAAGACTGTTTAAGGCAGTTATTTGGTAAGAAGTTGTCTAATGCTCCGTTTTGAGTCAGTTGTTTAGGAATTAGGGACACATTTAATCCCTAGGAATAATGTATAAATGATGTCTATGTATAGAAACAGATGACAGGGCATGATTATTGTCAAATTAACGGAGGACTGCTACACAAAGCAAGGAGAGAAAATTAATGGGCATAATTATTGAATGTGTAGTGACATTAATAGGGAAAAGGAAACAAGTTAGAATTACCACAGCCTCCTTTTTATTACAGCAGACTTATTTTCAGCAGACTTGGTTACCCCACAAGTATGGAGTGAGAACAGATTAAGCATCTGCTTGCTTTTGGGGGGTCTAATTTTGCTGTCCTTCATACTTTGAGACAACCCATATGACCCAGTAGAACAGCTATGGGGGCAGGGAGCTGGTATTTCTTCAGCTCCTATTGCTGGTACCACACAGGAAATTCTAAAGGAAGGTAGATGCTTGCTATCTGCATTCCTAGGAGGGTGCTCTGAGGCGAAGCCCAGGGAACTCACATGACTAGCTGAGGGACACAGGCTAAATAATCACGGGACCAGGATGCCTCATAGGCCGTGAGACCTGGCCCACTGCTCTGCATGGCGATACTGTGATCCCGTGACCAATGAAGGTATTCTGTGGCTGACATTTTGGACATTTCATAAAGGTATGTAAGGCAGAATAAAAGACTGCTTACTTGAATTCTGAAAAACACTAAAAGAAATGTGAAATGCTGCGAGATTCAAATGTATTGATTTGGGCACCACAGAAAAATCATGTGCCTTTCTCATTGTACTCTTCATGCTTCATTCCCTTCTCCTTCCTTTCTCGTTTATATCTAACACATTTCTGAGAAGGGAGTGATGGATGCTCTTTGGCTGACTCTCAGCAGAGTTACAATGTAGTGAAATTATCTTCAGATTTCTAGCTAAATGGATTGTTTGCTTTGAAACTGTGAAGAATCACCAGTATTGATCAGGGAAAAACAGCCCATGCAGGTAGCACATGCATCTGTGCTCATACGAACATATGTGATGTGCATTTCTGAGGTCTCTCTGTTGTGTAATTCTGTGCTCTTGGGCTTCAGTGTTGCTTTGTGTCATTGTAATTCTTTGATTTTTACTTTAGTATGGGAAATTTCATTGCATATGCTACAGTTTGCTTTTCCTTTGGATTTTTTGACAGACATTTGGGTTATTTTCCAGGTTTTTTCTATTACCAACAATGCTAGCACAAATATTCTTTAAGGAATATTGTGTTGCCCATGTGCAAATATTTCTGTAGGGAGCGTACATTTTTAGGACGGTGGTTCCTGGGTTGTCATGGTGTGAGTGTGTCCATTTATTAGCGTCTTTCCAGTGTACTCTCCCAGCGGTCATGGGACAGTGTGTATTTGCTCTACAACCCCATGCTACACTTGGGAATTGTCACTTTTTAAGTCCTGCCAACCCGATAGCTCAGTGTACTCTAATTTGTGCAGCCCTGAATGCTTCTGATTGTGAGTCATTCGCATTTCCATTTCTATCATTTTCTGGGATTTTTGCCTACTTTCCTCTGTGTTGTCTTTTTATGGTTTAGACAAGATTTAAAAAAAAATTTAAAACATATATTATGGACACTAAATTTGATGGTAATTTGTGATGTAATTCTTTAGTTCATTAGTTCATGAACATTGTTTGCCACTTTAGGTGTTCTTTAATGTATTTCAAGTACAGTTTTATATTTTTGTCAATAATGGTTTTGAATGTTTTTTGTTAAATTTATTTGAGTCATAAATATTTTAGTTTTTCTATGGAAATGTACATAAATGTAATAGATTTTTACATATCACTTTTATTCTCTGCAAAGTTAAATTATTTTCTTAATTCTAGAAAATATGGATTTTGCTGGACTACTTAAATGAGTCATTTTCAAATAATGATAGTTAAATTTCTTCCCTATTTTTGCTGTTCATTTTGCTTCATTACTTTTTGGAACTGACTAAAGGCTTTAGTATACAGTTAAAAAACAACTGGACATCCCGATCATCTTCCTTAACTTAGCAGGAACGTTTTCATCATTGTTTAGTGTTAGTATGTCTAGGGTAGATACTCTTTATCAGGTAAAGGAAGTTTGCTAATTAAAAAAAAATCATTGCCAAATCTTTGCCCTGGGTGAAGGAAAGAGGAAAGAAAATAATAAAGGACAACCTACTTAGTTTTTAAATTTGTTATTATTATATTTTTAATTTCTCAATGTTCCATTGTCCTTCCTTTCTCCCTCCTCCTCTCTTTTTTCCTGGCCTCTATTCTTCCTTTCTTGTAATACCAATTTTGTCTTTTTATATTCTTTTATTATCCCTTTATACATTTTCAGGAACATTTTGATTCTTTAATATATTCATTTTTAGTTTATAATTCCACTGTCTGAAGTCCTGTATATCTAACTTTGCTATCCATTGCTTCTACCACTTGTGCTGAGGTAACATGTTCCCTTGTGCATTTCATTAGATTTCCCTTTAAGTTTGTGTTTTGGGGAATTGTGCCTGTTTAGTATCTTTGAGACTTCAGTGCCAACTTGCACCTGTTGAGTATTTATTAACACTCACTCTTGTCAAATGTGGGGCTATAGCAGTGCTGGGGAATGGGAGGCTCTGCCAGCACAGAAACACTTGGTTTCCCTGAAATCCTGGGGAGCCTGAGATTGGGCTGCAAGGTCGGATGAGGGCCAGCTGGTAGATATGGCTTCCAAGGGACAATTTTATGTTTGCTTCTACCCAGTGCCATGTTCCGTAACAGGCAATCTCCCCTCCCCTGAATTTATTTCTCCTTCATATGTACCTTGTGGGTTTAGGCTTTTGGGGTTCCTGATTTATTGAGGCATTTCCTATTAGATTCCTTGTCTTGGTTATGTTTCTCCCAGGATTTATCTGCTGTTACCTGCAACACAGAAACCTGAGTTCAGCTTTACAGGCCGCTATCCCCAAGGGGAGAGTCAGGCTCAAACTCAGCCTCCTCTCTGGGTTTCTGTTTTCACTTGGCTTTTGGCTAAACTTTATTGTTAATGCACCAATACATTTAAAATTAAGTTTATTGTTTTAACTGTTTTCTGAGGGAGGGGGTCACAGTGCCAAGTGTGTCGTATTACTGGAAATAGTTTTTGAAAATAATTTATTCCTATAATAGATTTAGGATTTGGCATGGAAAAAATGGGGTGGGACGAAATCTATGAAACGAGGTTTTGTGTTTAGACACAAGATTATATATGTACTCGAGAGACATTTATTCACTTGTTCATCTCTTTTTTTTTTTTGGTGCCGGGGATCGAACTCGGGACCTTGTGCTCGAGAGGCAGGCGGCGGCACCACTGAGCTATACCCCCGGCCCTGCCTGTCTCTTAAATGTATGCACGGGGTCCAGGGTGTGCACGGTTGTGCTACAGGTACGAAGAAGCACGATGGATAGAAGTGACATGCAATAAAACGGTGCAAGTGAAGTGCTCACCACTGACTGGAAAATACAGCAGAACACTTTAAAACACAGTTAATGCAGTAACAAAATTTCCTTCACTTAAAAACATTTTTATTATAACACTAAGGGAAAAGAGGGCAAGCAGCCCACAGGGTACAGGTTGGACAGCCGGGCAGGGAGAGGGTGGAAATTCACTCAGCGGGAGGGACAGAGCATGCGCGAAGGGCAGCGGGCGGAGCCGGGTGGGGAGTTCAGCGCCGGGGGTCCGCGGGCGAAGGACTAGGCGGGGGTCGGGGTCGGGGTCGGG